AGACCGTCGCAAGTAACAGCTAGTTTTAAAATCTTATAATTATAATGTAAAAATGTGAAAACTAACTTTAACTATTTATTTTTAAATCAAGGCAATCTATTTTTAAACATAATTGGTAAACATTGTTTTATATGTCGTGAAATTTAAAAAAATAAAATGAGTATTATGCTACAAAGGTAGTTATCGAGGTATAAATAAGTATATACAACATAAATGCAATTTAATATTTTGTTCCATAAAACAAAAACGATACAATTGCATTCAGAATCTCCATCGTATAAAGAGATTTAAAAAGAAGTACAATGAAATTATTGTTGATTCAAATACGAAAGTACCTAAACTCTGATCAACTACAAAATGAGTAAGTAAAATCGATGAGTGTGGATTAAATTTGTATTTTTTAGATCGGTCATAAAATATAAGTTAATATAATATTATATACCATATAAATCATACATTCGTTTATAAATCAATGAGGAAAAAAGATAAATTAGCATAGATATCTAGATAACAGGGGATAATAAATTATTATTTATAGGTTATAATGGTGTCCAATTTGTTACGAATAAATTAATTGGTGATATGAAATAAAAATACAACACGTGTAATTGAATATTATCATTAAGTGTACTGTGTTAAAGTAATTTATAACATCGAAAAATAATTGAACTTTTTGTATTGAAGATTAAGTACACGGATGCACTCTTAATAGTTACAAGTATGTAAATCACCCATAACACAAGCTTTAGCTAGCTTAACTTGGGTCTAGATGGGGCTGTGTGAATCATAATCTTAAATAACTAATGCGAAAGTAATAATGTCTGTTTGTGATATGTTCATTAAATTAGATCTGAGGATATGGTAGTTGGTTAACCATACTTTGTTAGTTAATACCTATCAATGGTCATTATTTAATATTATAGACGATAGACTTTATAAGTAATTAAAAAACCTGTTTATTTAGTTGAAAGTTGACCATTTTGTGTTGGTGAACGCATAAAAGATTTCAATTTAGTTGTTAACTTTGTTTTTTGTTTTTGTTCTATTCAATTTCTTTCATATCTTCAGGACACACATAATACTTAGGTAGGTTAGTCGTAAATAATAGTATTCAATAAACTGAATTTCAAATATTCAATAAAGCGAGGATTTGAATACCATTTATATACAAAGTCCGCCGTCACATGATCAAAGAAAAGTTCACACAGACAAACAATCATATTCATGGATACTAACTAATATTTGTATCGAGAGAGGAATCGAACCCAATGAAAGGAAGTCGGTTCTGCTTTTGTTGAGATCGTTTCAGCATCATGAGTAGTTTTAGTGGGTTGTAGTATTTACGATTAATGCAATAGTTACAAAATTAATAAACACAAAAATGGCGACATAGATCCTATGTTGTACCCGTATGTTTATATTTATCCGTTGTACACCTGTATCGCGTGTCTACCTCTCATTACGCGGCGTGTGTCAAAATTAGAGCCTGACCTCTAGCTGCTGAGGGAATTTAAATTACACGTCGCGGCTCCATACAAATCTCTGCCACACGACGATAATTTGAGTTTCAATTTGACAGCCACAATTGTATGCGAGTATGGGGTAGATATTGATACTGTTAGACGGTTTATTACTCTTAGAAATTTGTTGTTACGAATAATTAAATGTATATTTAATAAGATTTTCCGACTTTCAAACCGATTTTCAAAACGAGGGGCTATATTTATTTGAGTATATAATACTATTATTCTTGATATCTTCTTACTGATTGAACGGATTTCGGTGATTAATTATTTTTTAAATTCGAATTTAAAAAATAATTACTTAATAATAGTTTACAAACTTATCTGTAATTAAATATATTAATATATAAAAATTTCTCTCGTCTGAGTGATTTTGAACTTTTTTCTACGAATAAATTACATATGTACAAATATTTTATTTACAAATTACATACATACTCCATTAAAATATAATTTCAGTGAATAGAAAAAGATAAATATTAATAAATACATAAGGGTACTCACTTACACATATACGATATAATCAGAATATCAATGATTGCAAATATATAACATGCAACTCGCAATTTATTTGCAAAACAATTATTCTATATCAACCTCTAAAGACAACTAAAATTATACACTTATAATAACTTTAGAATAAATGAAGTGTTATTGCACGTAACGAGCTTTTAATGTGTGTTTGTCTGTTGTTTCTTCATCGTTATTCGTTCTTCGTGATTTGATTATAGCAGGAACCTAGATCTCATTTTATATCTAAAGCAAAATTGTCTTTGATTCATAGCCTATTCTATTCATAATAAAGCTATTTGTTTTGTAAAATTTATTACCTGACATAGGTATAGAAGATGGAAAGATAAACATAGATTTGTCATTATTACAGTAATTACTTATGAATTAACATTAAGCAAAACATGGCCAGGAAACCCTGTTGATATATCTGACTAAAGGTTTTAATTATATTACTGATCTAATAAAAATTAACCGCTAAATATTAGTTTTTAGTTTTATTTTGAATATGTAAGATTATGAAGATATTACGACGTAGTTGAATAAAAAATAAAAAGGAGAAGGAATAACCACCATATTACACAAAATAGCCCTGACTTGCGTGATTTATGTAAACCTAGAAAATAGTAGAATTCCTCTAAGAATTTCTCTTACACGGTCATTTGCACGATTATATCAGTTCATGTTCGCGTGTGCACTTGCATGCAATGTATACTATTACAAACATCGTAATATAGAGTTAAACTAACTAAATTAGTATATCTGAATGTAATTAACATTAATTTAATTACAGTCTGCTAAAAAGTCTAAAGAGAAAAAATACTTCCTAATTCCTTCCAAAAACATGTAGGCGTTCCAAAAATATAGTTCATTAATTTCATTCAATTAATTTAAGATTTTGAAGCTCCATTATATCTAATTGAAAGCTTATTCGGAGCTTAGTAGAATATATTTCTTAAAGTGAGAAGAAAGTTAAAACTATAATTATTAGACGAATGGGCAGTTCCTATTATTCCCATTCACAGTAAAGATCGATAGACGGAATTACAAGATTATCACGTTAACTATCAATAATTCAACATTTCTTAATTTGAAATATTATTATATTTATTCAAATTACTAATAAAAATTATTGATTATTAAAATTTCAAGTAAAATTTTAGTTCTTTCTATCAATGTAAAGAACATCTAACTTATATTAAAGTATATATTACGTTTTAGTTTTAGAAATTGAATAATTGGATAATTAATTTTAATTTACTTTTTAATCATAGATGTTTATATAAGAGAAGGTTAAATTATGGCTATGCCTCTAATGTATACAAAAACTGTGTTTCCGTTAAAGCGAGTAAAATATTGGACCACCACCAGTACTACTAAATTTGGTGACAGAAATTAATAAAAAAATTTAGAAAGTCGTACAATTGAGGAGTTGTATTGATTTATACATCCGAATATAACTGCTCTAGATTTATTTGGTCGTACAAAATCTATTTGACAAGTTTATCGCATAAATCAGTAATGAATGCGTTTTTGGAAGTCAGCCATTAATTAAATTCTTCATTACTTATGTTATACATTAATAATTTGGGTGTACTATAGTTTAAGCAAGGACTTTGAATTATTGTAAAACTTTTATAATCCAGACCTCGGCTAAATGATGATTTATATTTTTTTATTTAACTATACCTTTTTCTCAACTATTTGAATTACGCTATATCTATATATACATTTTTTATTTTTTCTTTTTATTTTATATATGGTGCTTTATAAAGACTCTTTAAGTTTGACATACATATATAACTATCACTCTACTTTTTGGGATCTATTGAAACGGGATGAAATTAAATGTATAGCGTAATAGATATAAATATAAAATAGGTTTAACCTGATCACGTTAACTGGTTCATGTAAACAAAGTCCTGAGGTAACATAAAAAATACAGTTGAATAAAGTATCTACGCCACTTTTTAAATACATAGTTGAAAATAAATCACGTTTTCCAATTTTCCATTTATTTTATGGCAAGTGAGCAGTAGTGTAACATGTTATTAGATACACCCAGATATCTCTACCTGTGGTAGCCGACTAATCTCAGCCGGAGGTCAAGCCGTGTTGTAGCTCCTCGGCTCTCCACGTTTATTATAATAAGCCCCTGGTAGCCATTATAAAGTTTACCCATCGCCCTTTATGTCTTGCTCCGCTAATATCATGTGCAATAACGGGATATTAGATTTGTTGTGGTCATATATTTTTTTATTATAAACATTTCAATATTTTATTTAATTCCAAGTATTTATGTATAGCAAAGGTCTCTAAAATGATGGTTGTTTTTAATTATGTCTTTAAGATATTAAATAATATAATCTATAAATAATCGGGCTTGTCTACTATTCTTATTTCTAAAAACAATATTAAACATACAGAAATAAATGGAAAAATGTTTTGAATGTGTTATCGAGTAAAAATATTTTAATTGACATCATGAATATTATTTAATTCGTGATGTAGGAACACGAGAATAAATTGTTGTTAAGTATGATTAGCAAAATATTTAGTTAACAGATTAAACTGTGTTAATTTATACTTTACGCTAATTGAAACACTGATTACCAAACAAATTAATCTGAGAGCAGACAATGGTCTTGACCTCTGTCATGTTTTTTTTATAATAAAAGGGTATAATTGTTATATATTCTATCTATAGTACAACTTTCGATCTAGTTCAGATTACAGATTCTCACTGCGTATAAGTATTGTTTACTTAAAAATGTAACTGTATATAAGTGAGAGCCTTTGTCTTTGGGATATTTATTATAAAGATATTATTACTACGAGTTTCTTGACTGTTCTCTCAGATTTGACTACATTCAGAATTGATGGTAGATTTCGCTTATCGTAAATTTAATAAACTTTAACGAATAATACATATTTAGATTTTTAATACATAGGTATTGAATAACTTACCTATTAGCGCTTGGATGTGGTAGTTGGGTATAATCTCATTTGCGGTAGACAGCTTGGCGGCGTTTTTCTTACACTGTAAACAATAATATTATTCATCAGCTGACCTTAATTTGTACAAGAGAAATTTGGTAGGGTTTGATGGCAAATAAAGCGGCTTGTTTGGACTCATAATGACAGTGATTGACGAAACAGGTAGATAATAACGGTTGTTAACAAATAATAAGACGAAGTTGCGAGAAGTTAATTTCATCGCCATCTGATTCAATGTTGCGCAACACGTTGCTCCAGACGTCACCAAATATTGTTGAATTACAAAAGTTACTGGTAAACAATTATTTCATGGATTTATTGTTGCAGAATCGACGGTGAATTAGTCGCATCGTGACGCCGTCCTGGAGTTCTGATTCTAGAAATCGGTCATCGAGAATTAATTGCGTGGTCTTTGAACTGTTGCCAAATGTTGGTGAGTAGGTAACCAGTTGCCTGCATTATTACATAGAATAAGATCTTATTTGAATAATCTAAGATTCATGGCACAATGTTCGTTTGTTTGTAAGTCATTATTATAGTGCTTACAATAAAGTTATAAAAAAAATATAAATAAGTATTCAGCCCCAATTTGTTTCTATATTCAGATACTGTAATGGAAATTGGTTGCCAGCAATATATTCAGTATATAGAATATTACTGTACTATCAGTATATATCTTATATCCATTCATGAAACAAATGGAAAGCAGATAATGTTATTTTTTATCATTTGAACGGATGTATACAAAGTGGCGGTTATATCTAGTATACAATATAGTGAATAAGTTGATAATAGACTCATCCTGAAAAGGTATTCTTCAAGACGGCCTGAACTTTTAAAGTTTTATGAAAAAAAATTGTTACTAAATCCTTCTTAATAAACTTGGGTCATAAAACAATACAAACCACTGATGCAAGCGCATATACAAGTAATATTAAGCGACTGATACACTTTTAAAGCTAAAAGTAATGGTGCAATAACTTTTTAGTTAACGATCGGGTTTATTTGGCCGTAAATTAAGTAGGTAGGTAAGTTGCGAAATTGTTAATGTCCCTTATTGTTTTCTTAAAGATTTGTGCTAACCGTTAATAAAATACAAATAGAGAGACTACGTAATTGTAAACTTATAAAAATATAAGTGTACAATTACCTAATCTGTTTATTGCAATGTTAAATCAGTATACACTTATTCATATAAAATAAAAATGACAAACTAATAAATAGCTTCATTAGATGTGCATTTAAAATATGCATTTCAATATAAGTTGACTTTTAATATCATATAATGTATAACTAACTATGAGGTTTATATCTAAACATGCTGTACATATAATTGATATATAAAAATACATTAAAAGGATTATTGAGTGTTATTGGTTCCCATTTAATGCCTAATCATTAATGTAAGGTATGAAGTATACATAAAAGGTATATTTTTAACTTATTGTGATATTAAATATTTGATGTTCATGTTAAAAAATTACAAATCATTAATGTAATAATTATTACAATTAACCAATATAAATTTTCAAAACGGCGTACTTATATAATTGGCAAATAAAATAATACATCAAAGGGTTGCATGCGTATTATGTGGCGACTAAGTATGCAATAAACATAAAATTAAGTATGTTAACGTGTTAAAATATCGCAATAATTAGTGAAATTATACTTATGTAATAAAACACGTCTCCATATTTTCTGATTCGATTGGAGATACGAAAGAATAAATATGTATTAAGTAGAATGGATTATATTTTATGACCAGTAGTTACTAATTTTAGTAATAACAACCCAGGAGTGTCCACATAGCGCCATCTGGTCCCAAGATCTTGAATCTTATTGCTTCTGTTATGGGACAACTGATATATTTTTTTTTGGTAAATACATACATAGATGGCACCATGGACATCACGCCATAATGTTATCCCTTTAGTCTATTGTACTCCTCATACGTTGCCATTTCTAAGAAACGAGGACCTTCCTTGACTATGGTGTTTAAGCTTCGTTCCCTGTAATTTCAATCATTACAGGGAACGAATTTGCCATATCAAAATACAGCTAACCAAACAGCCTAAAAGAGCAATGTACATTTCTCCTTTAGGTTGTTTAGTTTTTTTATACAGTACCAGCAGATCTGAGTAACTTCGTCTGTTGTCGCCGTTTTTGAGACATTATTCATTAATGCTCGGTTCTTTTTGAGCATGGCGCTGTATATCCCTTTATATACTCGTATATTCTCTTTCTCGATTAATGGGCTTTCTAACACCAAAATAATTCTTAAATTCGAACCAGTAGTTCCTGAGTGTAATGCGTTCAACCAAACAATCTCTTCAGACATATAATAAATATAGATTTGTTGGTGAATATATTGTGTGATCAGAAAATCGACTACATGAGTAAATTATTTAAGCCAACAGGATTTTTCAGTACTTGATATAGTAATATCATATATATTACGCACATTATAACATTTGATTTATTATTGTGTATCGGCGTGTTTCTTGTGACAACCAGTAATCAATCGTTTACTTTAGAGCGAGTCAACTGAAGCTTACCTCCAAAGATAGAAATCGATATTTTATTATTCCTAGTTAATATCTCATTTTCCGTCATCTCACGACTTTGCTCACATTCTCGACTATCACTGTATTCTTATAAGCTAGCCTTTTATAGTAATTTAATATTATAGTATATCACTTACCGATACTGCTATAAATTGTAATTCTGAATAATTTTATACTGATATTTATATATGGTGCTCTGTTTTAATAAATAATAGGTGCAGCTTGTATAAACTAGTCCGCTCTACTTACTAGGACTGATTTAATTTGTTAAACAAGTAACTACATATATTTTAAAAATATTAAATCGTTATTAATATGTTTAAAAGTTTTATTAATAAAAGCAATAGGCAAGTACAGTACTTAACTGAATCAGTATTCTGACTGAGCACTTGAAAAAAAATACTATAGTAAAGTTTCTTTATTCTACCGGCTATTTTTAATAGAATTCGTTTATTTAATACTAACCTCGTATAGGTGTATTGATTTAAGGACGGTCTATTTACCTGTTTCTAAATATTACAACAAAGCATTATGGTGTTAAATACATTTTTGTCTTTCATTTCAATTCTAATCTGCTCTGATTAGTACCAATAACAAATTTTATACATTAAAAATACCGTTGAATAGAATTCCTTCTTTTGATATTCGCTTAAAAAGGCTATCGTCATCTAGTTAGTTTAATAGATAATCTGGCACTGACAGTGGTAAAATTACATCTTGCATCAGTGTATTTATGCGCATAGGCGGAAAATAATTTCTTTATAGGCATGGAATCGATTAGCGGCGCAGTTTACGATGCGCGCGCGCCGCACCGCTAGTGTCAGCTTTATTACTGTCTTGTACACATTGCGTATCTGCTGTACTTATGTGACTTATGATGAATAAGTATACTAAAATAGCTTTAGTTTGTACAGTAATATATAAATAAGATCTATTTATTATTACTAGTATTTCTTAGCTTTAATTTCATGTGCGTGCTGGATAATTTAAAATTGTCATGCCTTTATACCATTATTTGGTATTGGCGAAATATATCATGCTCTTTCAATGATGCCCTTGGCCCTTATATTTCAGCTTGATTTCTTTTTATAGTAGATTTATATTAGATAGATAGAGTTGAGATCTATGACCGTAAACCAAAATATATTACAAAATATTTTATGACGTCTTATGGAAGTTTTCTAACAGTTTGAATTGCTTATAATATAATATTCTATAATATATATTCTATAATATAATATTCTCTTCATTTTTATTACATAAATTAGACATTTTTTTGGATAAGTGATTAATTTGCTTACTAAATGAAAATATTTATACATACAACTATAAATATTATGATGACTAATACCTTATACCGTACACGGGGTAAGTATTGGTTGAGCAAATTGATGAATCATCTAATATATTCGGTTCTCACATGTACGTTACATGATTGTGAGAATACAAACGGGTACAACTACTCTTTTCAATATAATATGATGAGAATTTCATAACCATAGATGATACGATTGCTTAACAAGATGGATAATTTCTTATCATGGCATGTGGTACAATGAATTCCCATCTGCAAACGAAACAAAGGCGTACAAACAATTTGTAGTCGCCATTAAAGTTTGACTATTGAATAACGAGATGCATCTCTATTACACACTGCTCGGTTTGTTATAGTTCATATCTACATATAGATAGATATATGTGACCTCCTGCATGTATGCATTACTCGACTTTTTTAATTTAAGGTACGAGAATATTCTCAATTTGATTGTATTATTGATTTCTTCATAATTTTGAAAATAAAATTACAATGTCATTGCTGTGGAAAAAAATTATGTACGAGTACCTATGTGTTAAAATTTAATCATTAAATTAAAATGCAAAAATAATATATAATAATTAGGAAACGTAATATACGCAATTACTTCTATATACACCTAACTGTTTAATTCTTAAATATTAATATCTATGTATATTTTAAACATAGAAAAAACATCTATAATACCTATATTTTCTTTGTTGAAATGAACAACTCTTGTCATTAACTAATATTGTTTTTATAATCCTCATATAAACATATAAAATACTATAACTGTTTGTGGAAAATTTCAGGTAATTTATTTACCTGAAATTTTCATTTTAACATAATATAATAGTTTAACATAATTAAAAGAATTTATTCATTAAATAAATTTCATAATATTCTCTGATCTAATATGCTGTATGTATCATATGTTTATTGTACTATATGACTACAATAGGCGCTGATTCTACGCTATATAAAGCAATGGAAGCTCCATCTACATTAATCGCCACTCAAAATTGATACGACGTTATGGCGTAACATATTTTTATAGGTCAAGGTTTCTAATATGAGGTAATAGAATAGTTTCAATAAATGCCTAATACAAAAGGTTAATAGATAAGCTAATCATTTATAAAAAAGCTATTGTGCTAAAGTTCAATTAAACAGGTTCGA